GCTTCTCAATCCATCTCCCCCAATGTAGCTGTATTGGTGTCCACCTATACAGTTTTGAGGTTTTATTGGAGATGTTACTCCAGCAGTTCTCCAATATTCATCACCAATACAGTAGGCCCTACCTGTCAGTTCATTTTTTTCGTTGCTTTCCTCTCCTAGGGCCACGCCGGTGACGGAGATAGAGGTCGAGCGGCGATGGTATCCATTCACTAGCATGGTATATCTAAACAAATCATATTAGCTCGAATTAAGGTGGATCCATATGAAAGTTGTAGAGCTCGACAGGGTGCATGACTTTGTAGTTCACAAAATTTTCATGTGAAACCATATTGTTGCAGAAATAAATCAGTAACCGATACAACTTCATATCTATACATTGTATTGATTATTTTGACACTAAGATGACTTCAAGTGTAAAGGTTATGACCTATAAAGGTGTACATATGGTCGAGCTCTATAATTTTCTTATTAAAATTATGTCCATCTGACATAAAAAAAGTTGTTTTTTAAGAAATACTACACAGGCAAGATAGTTTCCGCTAAGTCAAGAGTAGGCATAAGGAAAATCCAACCAATTGATTTGGTGAAATTTAAATATCACCCCTTCAATTGGCGATATAGGTATATTTCTGCAAAAGTTTCACTCGTTTTATTTTTTGGCAAAAGAATATATCTAAATAAAACATAAAAATAGAGGGAAAATGTTGTTACGACGCCACCACCCAACTGGGATGTTATTTGGTTCAGTCAAAAGCATGGTAACGGTAATGTGATCATTTCTCAGTGCCATGTGCCCATGTCTTATGACTTAACGGAAAGCGCTACTTGTTTGGTTGTTGATGAACATGGCTGGGGTAGGTGTTAGCGTCGGGACGTGGGTGGGAATGACTTTGCAAGCGGGCGCATTGGTTGGTTCCCTCGGAGCCAAACCCAACATAAGGCAACGTGCAGTTCTCGCCGTGAACAGATACGACATAAAAAAAGAGCCAAATCAAACAACATCTAAATACCAAAAGGAAAGAGTCTGTCTACCTGAGAACCGAGTGTTTCCCCTCACCCCACACCCGATTTTTTCTATACTGCTCATCTTCCTCCTCCAAATTACTGTTGCCCCTGGCCACGACCATCGCCTGCACTTGGGCGCTTAGGGTTCACGGGAGCTCCGGTGAACCCTAGCGGCCGTCGCCCTGCTTCCCCTCCCCTCACCGCCGCCATCTTTTCCAGCTCCTGCGAGCCTCCCCCGCCACGACCTGCCCGGCCGCCGTTACCACCACCAGCTCCCCTAAATCGCCCCGCCCACCATCCCTACCGCCTGGCCTTCCTACCTCCCCAAGCCGACCCCTTTTATAACCGCCGGAGTTGGAGAAGAAAGGGGGAGGAGAGCTCGCTAGAACCCTAACTGGTAGATCCAGAAGGAGGAGGAGGAGGAGGAGGAGGCCGCCTACCTCGTCGCAGGCGCCAGCGTCGATCGCCGGAGCTGGGGAAGAAGGAGTCAGGCGCACGAGAGGCGTCGGGCACGGGCGCACGCTAGCCAGAAAAAAAATCGGGTGTTGAGGAACGTAAAAACAACCGAGTGTTGTTTAGCATTCCTCAAAGGAAACCACCCGATTCAAATGCTCGTGAGGATAAAATGAACCAACTAAACAAGCCATACCGAGTATCAAGCCGAGATGAGCTGGCTGAGTGGGTTTAGTGTGGGCTATGGAGTAGCACGACAATGCTCGGCCAACACAAATCTTTGCTCCTCGTGTCAGTTATAATCTCGCATCACCTGGATGTGATATGATGGCATCTTGATTGCCAGGCTAGCACTAGCAGCAGATCAGCGAAGGAAAAGATGAACCATGCCCTGCCCTAAGGACGGAAATATGGAAATGGATATCCGAATTATCCGCATTCGTATTCGTTTGAATTGTATATATGGATATCCGTATTCGTATCCATTTTAAAATGTAAGCCAAAGTGGATGTATCCGAATTCGTTTTTCAGTGTTTTTCTCTATCCGATTTCATATCCGTATTCGACAATATCCGATAGTATCCGTATCCATAAAGAAAATAAGATATCATGAACCTACTTAAAAGTTTTATCTCCATAACAAGTAAACAATTATTTAATTTTATTATTACTAATAATGCATGGAACCTATTTAATAGTATATCTATAAATAACTTTAGTATTAATTTTAAATTATTAATGATACATAAAGATTAAATTAATTTTAGTACTTTTCAAATTTAGTTTAATCCTAATATATTTGTTCTTTTAAATTATTTTAATACTTTAGTTTATTTATTTATTGATATATATATTTTTATATAAATTTATAATTTCATAATAAATATTTATATAAATATAATATTGATTAATTAATTGATATATTTAATTATTAAATATTTATTGATAACTATATTATTTTTATGTGCTATCCATTTCTATGTTATATACACAAATGCTTTATCTCTACTTGTGTGATAATTTTATAATTCCAATACTAATGATAAAGTAAAATGGCTATTTGTTTTCTACCATTTTATTTGAATTTCTTCACTTGATCTATTATTTTATTCAATATTATCCATTATAATTTAGTTTACTTCACTGTTAGAGATTATTAGAAGTGTACTTTCATTTAGTTCACTTTGGCTAACGATGTACTTAGTAGTAAAATTTTATTCATGTATGTTAAATTTAACGATATACATTTTGAGTTGACTTGAGTAAATATCTGAATAGAAATCCGAGACATCCGTTTTATATTCGTATTAAAAAAATCTGAATCTGTCGGTGTTTCGAGTTGCCACCAACTAGTAAATTTCTAATATTACGCGTCTGGCTCGGATGGTGTGCTTAGAGGACACGAGGTTTATACTGGTTCGAGCAGAACATCCCTACGTCCAGTTCGTTGCTGTTGCTCGTGTTACTAGCACTGAAAATTTATAGTAGGGGTTACAAATGGTCGAGAGAGGGACGGGTCCCAAGTCTCTGGTGGAAAGAATGAATGAATGCCGAGAGCTCGGTCGCTGCTCGGCTACGTGCTCGGGGTTCGACGGGTTCGTTGGTTGGATGAATCGATCCAGTTCGAGTCTGATGTCTTTCATGGGACGCCCTACGTTCTCTTTTATAGGCCAAGGAGAAAGCATGGGTTATAGCGGAGGAAGAGAGGAGAATCAGGGGGAGAAGAAGTCCCCTAGGGTCGCTGAGTCCTTCTCCTCCATGTGGGTCCCGCCGACTCTGTAGACGTCAACAGGGACAGCTTCACGTCGTGGCCCTGTCCGTCACTAGCGCCATCCGCAGACATCGTCTGTTGGTCATGGCGCTCCCCTCCGTCCTAGCGGACGTCGTGGTGAACTGACGCTCGTGTCAATATTCGTACGGAAATTAGGCAGAAGAGCTCGTGCGCAGAGGAAGGACTCTGAAATGAAATTACCAAAAGCACCGGACCTAATCTTTCCCTATCTGAATCTGAATTAAACACACGACTGTCACTCTGTGGGTCTTTGGCCGATGGCTTTGCAGTTTGCAGTACGTTCCAATCAGATCGTAGCCCTGAATTAGGGTTCGACCTGAAAAGCACGAGTCCTAGTGCAAGAACAGCTCTGCCCCTGCCCTCATCATAAATCCATCGGTACCGAACGCTAAACGTGACCCAGCACGAGCCTGAATCACATGCGCCATGCGTTGCATCTTGCAGTTGCCTGGCTGCGATTGGCGATTGCAGGGAAGGGATGGCGGCTTTGCCTTCCCTTCCACGACGGATCTGATGAATGCAGCTTGATCCAGGGATGGGGTCATGGGTCCCTAGCATTGAACCGCACAGAAGCTGACGGAGATGTTTTCCTGCTCATGTTCTAGAACATAGAATTCCGGCACTGTGGCCACTGCTGACAGGTGAGTGTTGAGACGAGAAACACAGGAGACCTGCAACAGTTTTTCTCTAGAAAACCAAAAAGGAGAAGTGCAACAGTATTCAGTACTGACAGTCAGTCTAACTCTCTAGCAGCTCAGCATTATTATTATGAATTTATTTATGATGCAATCTATTTGCCTGTGTGAGCTGCTCCGAACGAGCGAAAAAAAAAAACCCCTACTGCATCCGTTTTTGAAACAAAGGAAAAAATCTACTCCACCTCCTAAACTATGGAGGGTGGTCTATATAACCCCTCAATTATGAAACGGTCTGATTTACCCCTGAACTTTCCAAAACCGTCTATTTTACCCCACAGGCGGCTTTCAGCGACAATTTTGCTACGGTAACATGGGTTTTGCTACAGTGACGACGGGTTTGCTACAGTGTCAGGGTTTCGTCTTTTTCCCCTTATTTCCGCTGAATCTTTGAAAATCATAGTAAATCACAAAAAATTCATAAAATGGAAAATCTAATTTTGTTGAACTCCACATGAGTAGATCTACACAATAAACATATAATATGGTACACTTTAACACAAAACTTTTACTGTAAATTTATATTAATTAAAAAATCTAATTTTGTCTGTAATTAATTGGAATTTATCTATAACTAAGTTATACATGGTCCAATGAGTACGAAATTTTTACTATAGTTTAAGCATATAATAATTAACCTACCATAAAAATTTCACGACAATTAGACCATAGAAGCTGCAGCTATGAATTATTCTAATTAATTACAGACAAAATATGCCGGTTATTTTGTACAAATTGCAGTGCTCAATATCAAGCTCGATCTGAATTTGATGCTTACAATTATAATAGTATTGTCATATGGAAGCCACACTACCAGTTTGTTCCACCAAGGTTCCCCAGCCAGAGGCCAGAGCTTAGAGCAAATTCAGCAAATCATTATCATTTCCCTAATCGCTCTACAAATCTGTACACTTTCCTCTTCCTAGGACTGGATGACAGAAGCAGGCATTCTGCCTGCCTGCGCGTTTCAGCTCAGCGCCTTCACTTTGCTTTGCTATCCATTTCGCGGGATGATGATCTCTGCCATGGATGGATGAGGATGACGCAGACGCGCCTTACATCGTCATGTACGGCTGCGGCGACAGCAGCTGCCGCGATACCCGCTCACGGTTCCTGGCCGACTCGGATCGTCCCAGCGCCATCTCATGCTCCAGGTTGGGCGATGGCGCGGGCGCGACCGGGGGGCCCGACGAGACGACCGTCGAGACCATGCTGGAGCTGACGCCGCTAGTGGCCGTGGTGGTGCTCAGGAAACTGTCGGACGACTTCGGGGGCGGCGGCCTCTCCAGCTCCATGACCCCTTCCAGCATCTGCACCACCTTCCCCATGGACGGGCGCTGCGCCGGCTGCTCCTGGATGCACCAGAAGCTCACCTGCAGCGCGCGTTCCACCTGCGCCATGTCGAGGTCCTCCGCGGGGAGCCTCCTGTCGAGGATGCCGGCGAGGTTTCCCCTCTCGTACTCCTCGTACGCCCACACCGAGAACTTCTTCCGCCCGGTCTCCTCCGACACGTCGAAGTTGCGGCGGCCGCTGACGGTCTCCAGCAGCACCATCCCGTAGCTGTACACGTCGGACTTGGCCGTGATGGGCAGGTTGGCCAGCCACTCCGGCGCCAGGTAGCCCCTGGTGCCGCGCACGCTGGTGAGCGTGCGGTGGCGGTGGTCCTTGGGGTTCACCAGCTTGGCCAGCCCGAAGTCGGAGACCTTGGCGTTGAAGTGATCGTCCAGGAGGATGTTCTCGGGCTTGATGTCGCAGTGCACGATGCAGTCGCGGCACTCCTCGTGCAGGTACGTGATGCCCCGCGCCGTGCCCACGGCCACGGCGAACCGCGTCGGCCACGGCATCTTCCCGTCACCGAAGAGGAACGCGTCCAGCGAGCCGTTCTTCATGAACTCGTACACCAGCAGCCGGTGCCGGCCCTCGGAGCAGAAGCCGATGAGGCGGACCAGGTTCAGGTGGTGCGTGCTGCTGATGGTGGCCACCTCCATCCGGAACTGCTTCTCCCCTGCTCGATCCCTCCAGCTGCTTCACCGCCACCACCGTCCGGTTCGCCAGCACGCCGCGGTACACGGCGCCGAACCCCCCCGCGCCCAGCTTCTCCTTGAACCCCTTGGTGGACCGCTGCAGCTCGCGGTACGAGAACTGCACGGGCGCGCCCGACGCGTACTCCAGCAGCGCGTACTGCGCCGACGCCGGCCCGTACTTGGGGCTGTGCCGGCAGAAGAACCACCACAGCGCCGACTCGCAGAGCACCAGACCGGACACCACGCCCAGGACCACGACCGCCACGACCCAGGCGCGGACGCCGGGGCCGCCGCGCGAGTTCCCGCCCGCGGTGCTGCCCGGGACCGGGTTGGGCAGCGGCGGGTAGCAGACCTTGACGAAGGACGTGCTGGGCAGCGCGGCCGACTGGTAGCCGCTCACGAAGTTGGAGACCTTGAGGAAGCAGAGGCCCGAGCCGTCGGAGAGCGCGGTGGACGCGACGCAGGAGCTTCCCGAGAGGCAGTTGAGGCGGCAAGCGGTGATCCCGACGAAGAACTGCTCCGTGGTGATCTCCGGCGGGTAGGTGAGGAACTGCGTGTTGTCGAGCTGGAGCATGGTGGAATTGCCGGGGCAGCTGTTGAGGTCGACCTTGCGCGTGCACCCGCCGCGCGGCTTGGAAGGTCGGTGAGCTGGAAGTTCTGCGACGGGCACCCGCACACGGGCGCCGTGCCGTTGTAGCTGCACACGCCCATGTTGCCGCAGTAGCCGAACACCTGGCACTGGTCCGCCACCGCCGACCACTGCTCCGTGGCGGCGTTGCTGCCCCGGGCGGCGCTGTAGGCGCGGAAGTTGCCGTCCTCGTCGAGGCGCACGAACCGCATCATGTCGCCGCTCTCGCCGTAGTTGCTGCTGTAAGCGACGACGACGGGGGAGGTGAGGGTGCCGTCGGTGAGGGAGACGATGCCGTTGGTCTGCATCGTGAGCGTGGGCGAGCTCAGCGTCCTGTTCCCCGTGAAGGAGGTGTTGTACCCCTTGTTGAAGTAGGTGACGGTGGTGGCGGCGCTGGTCCACCGGAGCGTGAGGTTGCCCGTGCCCTTGTCGACGGAGAAGACGTAGGAGCCCGAGGTGAGGTTCATCCCGGAGGTGAAGTTCTGCGACATCACCACCGTGTCCGTGGGGTGGTCGAACGACTGCCACAGCGTGGCGCCGCGGGAGTCCTTGAGCACGAGGTTGCCGCTCTCCTGGACGGCCGCGGCGGACACGTTCTGCCCCCCCGTGTTGGACGACCAGAGCACGGCCCCGGAGCCGTTGACGAGCTGGAGGTCGCCGTTGGACGAGAGGCGGAGCGAGCCCCCCGAGTCAACGGCGGCGCCGGCGCCCGCGGACCAGACGCGCACGCCGCCGGCGTAGGAGATCGCGGCGACGAAGAGCGACGGGGAGGACGCGGACGCCGTGAAGCCGAGCGAGAAGGTGTTGTTGGGCGACGTCCACGTCGCCGAGTTGCTCGGCGACAGGGTCGACCCCACCGGCATGTCCGCGCCGCGGGACAGCAGCGGGAGGAGTAGGAAGCAGCCGAGGGCCGCACAGTGCCCGGAGCTTCGCCACAAAGGCCGCATCTTTCCGGCGCCTCCGGGGTGGGGGGGGGTGCCGACTCCTCTGATTCGTTTAATCCTTTCTTTTCTCGGATGGAGATGGCCGATGGCAGACGGAGAGGCAGCTAGTCATCAAGGCAGCCAACCCCACCTCCCCCGTCTCACATGTGCCATGGCGTCTTCTCTTGTCCTCTGCAATTGGTAAGGTTGTTTCGCAATCGGGCGCGTGAATCTGGTCTTGGCACGAGGGGAAGGGATCGAGAGGAGGAAGGAGGTGGGAGGGAGGGAGTTGGACTGACCGGGCTGGTAGAACAGTGGAGGAGACCGGGACCGGGAGAGGCAGAACGAAGCAAGTTGTGCTAGAACTGAGGCCTTGGAAAATGTCAAGCGTTTAGAGCGCTAGTGACTGACTGACCGTGACCGTGACGCACACTGCCCGCCTCCTCCTCCTCCAGTCCAACTCGGAGAAAACCATAAGAAATTATTACTACTCCCGTGGAAACAACAGAGGAACGGCATATTCTGTGTTTCGGAAGGCCGTAAACGATCGTGGATTATTTACTACTGGTTGGTTTAGTATGAGAGAAAAACACTGTTCCTGGCTGAAAATTTATGATCGTTTACGAGTAAGCGAACATGCTGAATTATTATCGGGTCAAGATGTGGAGACTGTTCGGCTGGTATTAAAGCCGACGAATAAACTGGCTGAAACTATTTTGTTGTGAGAGAAAAATATCGTAGCATAAGCCGGCTGATAAGTGCCAGCGAACCTTTCCGTGAAATCAAACCTCCCGTTCCTTGTCGACAGCGTCGACAGTCCATTAAGCCACGCTTCCTGCTGCTGTGTTTCGACCACAGGAGACGAGAAGATGAACTTTCCATTTCGCAGATGATGCTCTGTACGCTCTGCTCAGGACCAGGTCTTCTAATGCAGCGTTTTACGGTAGCAGCACGGCGATGGCAGTGCTGGAGACGTATCATGGATGGAGCAATCGCCACCGTCCAAGGCAGGTATCGACGGCCCCTGATGATGGGATGGTGCCTTGGTGGTGGGCCTTGACCGGTTCTAGGCTCGGCTGGTTGTGTGGTGTGGTGGCCTGGTTGGTGGGTGAGTCAAGGTCAACATGGGCGGCTTAGAAAATAGATAGACGCTCATCCTCATCTGATGCCTTCCTTGTGTTTTCCTTTTTGTCTCTCTCCACAGATTATTAGGAGCTCAGCATTTTCCTCTGTATTTGTTGCGCTGTACACCATTCGGTACCGCTATTGTTTTCTCCTTCTAGGTTGACTTTGACTATCCTTCTGTAACAGTTGGGTTCATACGATACCCTGACGTTAATTAATTGTGATCATAATCACAGACCCGACGGATTGATGGGCCAGCGCAACAATAGCACCGAGACGAGAACGATGTATTTAGGTCTATATTAATTATCATGGCAGCTTAGCCTTCTGCTGACGTGGCAAAGAAATTAATGGAGAGAGAGTAAAAATAGAGAGACGATTTCTACTTCATGGAGCCGCGTCTTCGCTAGCACTGAGACACGAAAAAACTAGCCGCACCGCGTTGGGGGAGAAACTAGTAGTTTCCAGCGGCCTCCATTCGGATCCACTGCTCTGCAGTCATCGCGCGCAAGGCGCTTCGCGCCCGCCTGCTCGCTCCTACCCCCGCAAAATCCTCCACGCGCGCTCTTGCGGGGAGGTGCGGTGCGGGCTGTAGAAGGGGAGGGTGTGGCCGCCTGGGGCGGAGGTGAACGGGAGAGGGAGCTCGCTAGGGTTCTTACGCGGCGGCCGGCATTGAGCAGGAAGCAGAGAGGGCACCGACGCGGCCTCTGTTTTAGTCTTCCCCGCGATCGGCCACCGAACGGGCGTGCTAGACTATGGAAACTGCACATGGTTTTTGCATTGGGATTGCCCTTATGATGGATGTCGGAAAACTTCACAAATTTTAGTAGTTCTTCCTTCCCTTTTTTTATAACCATTTATTTTACAGCCACAAAGTTTGACATTCGCACATAGCAGTTGCTGTACCGCTGTTCAAATTCACCCATGCAAATTAATCTCACAAATTCACAAAGTTACCATGACTGGTTTTAGTGAGGGATATGAGAGATTTTAGTCTCTCTAGTTAATTTATTCTAAAAAATTGTAAAAGCCTTAGATTTATTGGCAGGTTACATTGCTGTATATAAATATATATATATATACTTTTAATACTTAACAATTTAAAGGCACATGTCTTCATATGCTAGTTTTATGCTTTGTGTGGCAGAGCTCCGGGCGGTTTCGACTCAAGCTTCTCTATCTGTCTTAACTAGTAATCACCTAATCGGCGAAGTCACTATTTTTTTAGACTCCTTTGTGTACTGTAGCAAGGAGCCGGAGCCATACTAAACAGGGCCTAATATACCTACACACGTACGTATGCACATACACAAACTATGACTAGGTTAGTAATGGTGTGTTTGGCACCGCATCGACCCCCACAATGCTGAAGCACAGAGCTAAATATAGCAAAAGCACCAATAACGCGGCTCCGCCATTGTACACCATTATAGCATAAAAACGGTTCTAACCCCTTTGTACTCCCCAGAAGCGTTCACTACTACAGAAAAGGTTTATAGCAACGGCTTAATTTTTTTTGTAGGGGCGGCTGGGGATGAAGGCGCCCCTACAGTGGGCGTGCTCGGGACCCACGAGACCAACCGCCTCTACAAATGACACGGTAGGGGCGGCTGGTGATATGAGTCGCCCCTACAAATGGGTCGATTTGTAGGGGCGGCTCACTCACCAGCCGCCCCCAGTGTTGCAATTTGTAGGGGCGGCTCAATCACCATCCGTCCCTACAAATGTTGCACGTACAAAAGGCTGCAGCCCCTTCTTTCTCCTTGGGTCACTCACTCTTACCCGAGAAAAAAAGGCTTGGGAGGCCTTGGGCACCTCCCAAAAATTGCTCTACTAAGGGAGAAAGGTTTTGATCTCAAATCCTTTGGTGGAGAGGTTGTAGAAGGTAAGAAAATGCTATTCCACACTTTTTTTAAAGTTTTAATGGTTGGTTAATGAGTAATTAGAGTTTTGCTTTTCTCTCCCTTCTATGGTGCTTGAGCTATTTATGAAGCAAATTAGACCCAAGTTTTGAATATAGTATGGTAAATTAGGTAGGGAAACAAGATCATACCCTTATTTGGTCCATGTTTCTTGATTTTAGTGAACAATTAGTTAGTTTTATTGATGTTTCATGTGCATGTAGATCTAGATCTAGATCTAGGGTTTGGTTTTTTTATTAATTTCGTTTTTGTAAATTTATGTTTGATGAAATTGGACTAGGGTTTGCATGAAAGATATTGGGTAAAATATAATTGTTGTTAATTGTTGTCTTTGAAATTGTTTATTATAATCAACAAATATGTATTTTAATTATTTATGGATAAATGGGCCATTAATTAATTTTCCTCTACCATGGTGTGTTTGTATGCTTCATGTAATTATATTTGATTTATATTTATATATATCTAAAGTATATACAATTATTCTCAAGTAATTATTAATTTGATTCATTTTTATATATATCTGAATAAGTAGTCCTTTAATGTTTGTTTTGTTGTTGTTGTAAAGATGGAGTACATGAACTCTTGGATGAATAGTTCGTTAAGGGTCAAGGTAGGTTTCCGTGAAGAGGTGGATAAATTTATTGAAGTCACAGAGAAGCATGCAACGATGTTGACAGAGAATAAGGATATAATTATTTGTCCCTATAAAATTGCAAGAACCGTATGAAATGGATGATGTGACTATCATCATATCACATTTGATTATGTGAGGATTTGTTGAGGACTACACGTACCCAAGCGAAGGTGTCGGGATACCATGAAGGGGTACCCTAAGCAAGATCCAAAAACGATCGCTTAGATTTCAGAAGATCGAAACCAAATTAAACGCTGCTGGCCTCGGCCGATTCTCCGACTCGCCTTGAGGCCCCATCACCATGGACCTCACCGATTCTCCGATTCGCCCGAGGCCCCTCACACCACGGGCCTCGGTCGATTCCCCGCCAAAGGCCTCGGCCGAGGCCACCGACCCCCGTCTCGCGGCAAGCAAGGCGGGCTCGGCAAAGACTCGCTACCTCTTCCTTCTCCCGTCCCCTCCGCAAAACGTCAGTGTCGCATCAACTCAGCCAATCGCTGCCCCCCGACAATGCCCACATGCCCGCAGACAAGATGTGCCAGAATGGCCGATGGGGACAGAGGCAGGATCAAGGCGGGTTACCCGCCATCAGATTAACCACTGTGGCACATGGGTTGACGCCCATGCCTCACTATGCCGCCAACTCCCGCACCGAGGACAATGCAGCGGGGGGAGCCACATCCGCTATCGGGCCTTCTAATCGCACCAGAGCAATAATTCCCTCCAAGGCCTCGGCAGCTTTGCTCCAGGGGCTCGACAAATTGCGAGGACCCATGTCCGCCAAAGCCCCCGCATGATGGCTTGGCCTCGCACCTACAGAGCCACAGCCCCTCACGACGCCATCACGCTGATGACCTGCAGACGTCCCCTGATCGGGGGGGTTACCCATCACTATGCTATCCACTGTGCACATGGTTGACACCCATGCCTCATCAGTGCCGCCAACTCCCGCTCCAAGGACAACGCAGCATGGGGAGCCACGTCTGGGCTATCGTGGGCTCTCTAATCGCACCTGTGGCCAATAACTCCCCCAGGCCTCGACAGCTTTGCTTCACTTGCTCGGCAAATGAGGGTCCATGACCACCGAGCCCCCACGATGATGGCTCGGGCCTCGGCATTCCGCAGAGCCACCTGCTCCCACGACGCCATTACATCGGCGACCAAAGACGCCGCCTGGCCATGTCCTCGTGCATCAAGCCGCATCGAGCCCCACGACGCACAAGACCGAGTATGACCAAAGATGTCACTTCCGCATGACAAGGATTTGGCCACTCCATCGACCATACCACAACAAAGGGTTTACTACATGGGCTCTTGACACGCCACCCCATTTACGAAGC